GCCGTGACCGCTTCGCATTCAATTTGTTGTTTCTGGGTCTGGGGTTTCGCTCGCGAGCGCGCGCTAACCGCGGCGCCACCGCTCCCTCTACCACCACACAACCTTTCCCATCGGCGCATCCCGCATGCAAATGAGCTCGCGGGCGCGCGAGGAATCGCCCCCCAGGGTGTGCCAGAGAGACAGAGAGAAAGCCGCGTGACCCTCCCACCCTCCCGCCCCACTCTCCCCCTCCTCCTCCTCAAACAAAAAAAAATATTGTAATAAATAACAACAGTAAAACAACAGCGGCGGCGGCAGAAACGAACTATAAATCAACTTACTCGTGCTTGAGAGAGAGTGCATGCGTGTTGTGTTGTGTGTTGTGTGTGTGGGGGAGCGGTGGTGCAGCGGTTAGCGCTACGCTGCGCTACGAACCCCGGCGAACCGAGTTCGATTCCCGCTCACGGCCAACACCGGTGACGATTATCCTGGAACCGGTCCCGGGCGTCCCCTAGGTCGACTCAGCCTCAAATCAGTACCTGGTGCGGTGCGTAAAGATCGCCACTAGGGGGAGACAAAGGCGGCCGGGCGTGGCGCTGTCAACTAACCCGCTCGTGTGCCGCTCCGGTCTTCACAGGTGCCACTCGGTAGCAGCACTTGCCCCAAAGGTATATTTAGGCTATACGGGGGATCTTTGTCTCGTGTATTGCAGTGTGCGTTTGAGAGTTTTTGTTCACGATGCATACAAAGACAACGTCGCATCGGGCACTCATTTCAATGCTGAGTCGAACCTAGGGGAGGCCCAGGACCGGTACAGATAATCGTCACTGCGTGTTGGTCGTGAGCGGGAATCGCACTCGGGTCGCAGCTCAGCGTAGCGCTAACCGCTGCACCACCGCTCTCTCTCTGTCACACACAACAAAGTTCCCCCGAATGAAACTCGATTCTCCTCCGGTCACTATGGTCCGGAATTCCATTGTCCTCTAGCCCAATCTCCCCACCCCCACCACCACCCTCTCTCTGCCCCAACCCCTCCACCCTCTCTCTCGATTTAAGGCCCCGACACTGGTGCTGTCAATCTTTGGAAGAACGTTGATCAACCAAGAACGTTGTGTTAGCCGACTCTCTGTGTTGTATCGCATTATATTTTTAAGTCTACTCTGGGGGTTTTATTTTTCTCATTCATTCTTACCCGATGATGGTCGCTCGTGTTGCAAACGAAACGTCGCATTCTATAATGAGTATTATTATTGTTCGATTTCTTTTTGTTTTTCTACGTGACTTTACCGAAATAACCAAAGAGTGATCCCGCCGTGTTGCCTAAACAGACTGTAAGGGGCAAGTGCCGTTAGCGAGTAGCAGCTAGCACCTGTGAAGGCCGGCACGGCGCCCGGCCGCCTTTGTCTCCCCCATTCCTCGCCGAGGGTTTCACAGCGCAACGTGGACATTGTTGACTCCGATTTCGCAGCGAACAACAAACGCAAAAGAGGCCGTCAACTGTCATTAGCAGAGTCATTAAAACGACGGGGTGGGTTGTAAATTCAGGCGAAATAGAATTAACAATTAAGGTTTATTATCTCAAACTGTTCGCAAATGCGCGTGTCGAGCGGTCAGCCCACGTGTTCGGATGGAGCGGCACTTGGATACCAAACCACGGACATTTACGATCATGATGATGACGATGCATCATCATCATCGTCTGGTGACGAAGGTTGTGTAACGCGATGTGGAAGCTACCTGGTCTGTCGTTCCGCACGAAGCTTCAGGTCTTCACGGCCACGGTCATTCCCTCCCTTCTCTACGCTTGCGAAACGTGGACCCCCCCCCCCACCTAATGGAACATTTTCGCTGGTTAGAAACATTTTGGCTGGCCTGCCTACGATCCATCCTGGGTTTAACCAGGCTGGATTGTGTGAGGAGCTCACAAATCCTTGAAAGATCTGGGCAAGGTCCCATCAGTGAGCTCCTCCGGCGGGCAAGGCTGCGTTGGCTGGGTCATGTAGCCGGCATGCCCAGCCACCCGCATGCCGAAACAGCTTTTGTTCGGCCGGATCGAGGGGGCTAAACGGGCGCGGCACTGGCTAAAGTAGAGAAGGAGTGATGTGGTACAGGAGGACGTGGAGCTGAGTGGACTTGCCGATGACTGGTGCCAGCGGTGTCAAGATCGGCCTCTGTGGAGGAGGCTCGTGAAGGACGCCGCTACTGGGCAGTTGGAGGCAGTCGCCCGCCAACAACAACAGTCAGAAGAGCGACGCTCACAACAACGAGCGGAGCGCTGGGCGGTTAAAACACAGCAAGTTGACACAGTAGGGGGCACAGGTGGTGCATCAACCACTCATCTCAGTAAGTCGACACGTGGCACCTGCTGGGTCTGCCCCGTGACCTCCTGCCAGCGGGCGTTCGACACTTCACGTGGCCTCAAGGTGTACATAGCCTGGCACAAGCGTCGTGGTGACGTCACCGCCACTTAGTGGCGAATGGCGGTTGTTGTGTTGGTATTTATCTGTATCGATATGTTTGTTTGTATCTCTCTGCCTGTGTGTGTTAGTGTGCATCTGTGTATTGCACGTGTATGTAGTGGGGAGCGGTAGTGTAGCGGTTAGCAGCGCTGCGCTACAAACCCGGTGACCCGAGTTCGATTATTTGAACCGGTCCCAGTTCTCCCCTAGGTCGACTCAGCCTCAAACGAGTACCTGGCGCGGTGTGCAGCAAACATCGTCTCTAGGGAGGCAAAGGCGGCCGGGCGTGGCTGCTGGCCCGCCCACCCTCTCGCAGGCTACACGGGGGACCTTTGTCTTTGTAACTTGGCATAGCCGAGCTCTCCTTGCCGGGGTGGCCACAATGGGCTGGGCCCTCATTTGCTTTCAGCGGAAGAACTCCAACGCTGGGCGACAGACAGACAAGAGCCCCGAGGTTTAATAAATTAATAATAACAATTGTAAATATCCCCCCCCACCACCACCACCACCTAACTTCTACCCCCCACCAACCCCTCCTCCTACCCCCCCACCAACCCCTCTTCCTACGCCCCACCAACCCCACCTCCCACCTAACCCCCCCCCCCCCCACTAACTCCGCCCTTCCACCAACCACCCCCCCCCCACCAACCTAACCCCCCACCAACACCCCCCCTCCCCCCCACCTTTAACCGCGGCCCTAACGCCTGAACGTCTTTGTCACCACCAACACGAATCGCCATCAATCAATCACCGGCGATCGTTAATCGCCCGTCAGCGTCCATCCACGGCAGTGAGAGTCACTCCGGTCACTGGCCATGAAACTCGAACTCGCCGACCGTGCAGTAAAACGCAGAGAGGCACACACACACACAGAGATGCGGAGAGATGCGTGGAGATTCATAGAGATGCATAGATATTCGTAGAGATTCGTAGAGATGCGGAGATGCGTGGAGATTCGTAGAGATGCATAGAGATTCGTAAAGATTCGTAGAGATGCATAGAGATTCGTAGGGTATTCGTAGAGATACATAGAGATTCGTAGAGATACATAGAGAAGCATAGAGATTCGTAGAGATACATAGAGATTCGTAGAGATACATAGAGAAGCATAGAGATTCGTGGAGATGCGTGGAGATGCGTAGAGAAGCATAGAGATTCGTAGAGATGCATAGGGATTCGTAGAGATTCGTAGAGATGCATAGGGATTCGTAGAAATGCGTGGAGATGCATAGAGATGCATAGAGATTCGTAGAGATGCATAGAGATTCGTAGAGATGCGTAGATGCGTGGAGATGCATATAGAAGCACAGAGATTCGTAGAGATGCATAGAGAAGCATAGAGATTCGTAGAGATGCGTGGAGATGCGTAGAGAAGCATAGAGATGCATAGAGATTCGTGCGACCCGTACACTGCACTTGCCCCCAGCAGGTCGTGCAGGCTACACGGGTCACCTTTAACTTTACATGTGTGTGTTGTTGTTGTTAGCGCGCTGCTGTGCATACTGACCGAGCTCGATTCCCGCTCACGGCCACCACCAACAACAACAACACAACCACCACCACCACCATCACCAAACACCACCACCAACAACAACACCACCACCACCATCACCAAACACCACCACCACCATCACCTCCATCACCACCAAACACCACCACCACCAAACACCACCACCACCATCACCACCATCACCATCACCACCATCACCACCAAACACCACCACCACCAAACACCACCACCACCAACAACAACAACACCACCACCACCAAACACCACCATCACCACCATCACCACAATCACCACCATCACCACCAAACACCACCATCACCATCACCACCAAACACCACCACCACCAAACACCACCACCATCACCACCAAACACCACCACCACCAAACACCACCACCACCAACAACACCACCACCAAACACCACCACCACCATCACCACCATCACCACCAAACACCACCACCACCATCACCACCATCACCACCAAACACCACCACCATCACCACCAAACACCACCACCACCATCACCACCAAACACCACCACCACCATCACCACCAAACACCACCACCAAAACCACCACCACCACCACCAAACACCACCACCATCACTAAAGACCACTAACACCACCACCACCATCACCAAACACCACCACCACCAACACCACCACCAAACACCACCACCACCAAACACCACCACCACCATCACCAAACACCACCACCACCACCACCACCACGAAACAACACCACCAAACACCACCACCACCAAACACCACCATCACCGAACACCACCACCAGCGATCGCGATTATCTGGACGCGTTCCTGCGCCTCCCCTTAGGTCGACTCAGCCTCAAATGAGCACCTGGGTGGCATTGAGTGGAAAACAGCAATCGTCGCTGGGGAGACAAAGGCGGCCGCCGGGCGTGGTTGCGGGCCACCCGACCCCCCCTCGTGTGCCGCCGTGCCTGCTCGCTCCTGACGGCACTTGCCCCTCAGCAGGTTGTTGACCAGGCTGCAAGGCCGCGAACCTTTGCCTTTGCCTCTTGTCCTTCGGCAGGGGCGCGTGCGTGACGTCCGCCCCGATGGACGTGCGGGCGGTCGTGCTGTGGGCGGCGGTCGCTTCCTGCGCTCTGAGCCGAGGGGGCGGTGCTGGGGCTGCCCTTCGTCAACTCGACGGTCCAGGTTCGACTCCCCCGTCAAGTGGAGGGGGGTGGGAGGGGGGAGTGTGGGGAGAGTGGGGAGGGTGGGGGGTAGAGTGGGTGGGGGCGGGGGGTGGAGGGGTTCACAATTTGTGGATTTGTCGAGGGTGGGGGAGGGTTCACAATTTGTGGTTTTGTCGAGGGTGGGTTCACAATTTGTGGATTTGTCGAGGGTGGAGGGGGTTCACAATTTGTGGATTTGTCGAGGGTGGAGGGGGTTCACAATTTGTGGATTTGTCGAGGGTGGAGGGGGTTCACAATTTGTGGATTTGTCGAGGGTGGAGGGGGTTCACAATTTGTGGATTTGTCGAGGGTGGAGGGGGTTCACAATTTGTGGATTTGTCGAGGGTGGAGGGGGTTCACAATTTGTGGATTTGTCGAGGGTGGGGGAGGGTTCACAATTTGTGTATTTGTCGAGGGTGGGTTCACAATTTGTGGATTTGTCGAGTGTGGAGGGGGTTCACAATTTGTGGATTTGTCGAGGGTGGAGGGGGTTCACAATTTGTGGATTTGTCGAGGGTGGAGGGGGTTCACAATTTGTGGATTTGTCGAGGGTGGAGGGGGTTCACAATTTGTGGATTTGTCGAGGGTGGAGGGGGTTCACAATTTGTGGATTTGTCGAGGGTGGGGGAGGGTTCACAATTTGTGTATTTGTCGAGGGTGGGGGGTTCACATTTTGTGTATTTGTCGAGGGTGGGGGGTTCACAATTTGTGTATTTGTCGAGGGTGGAGGTGTTCACAATTTGTGTATTTGTCGAGGGTGGAAGAGTTCACAATTTGTGTATTTGTCGAGGGTGGAGGAGTTCACAATTTGTGTTTTTGTCGAGGGTGGAAGAGTTCACAATTTGTGTATTTGTCGAGGGTGGAGGTGTTCACAATTTGTGTATTTGTCGAGGGTGGAAGAGTTCACAAATTGTGTATTTGTCGAGGGTGGAGGAGTTCACAATTTGTGTATTTGTCGAGGGTGGAGGAGTTCACAATTTGTGTATTTGTCGAGGGTGGTGATGTTCACAATTTGTGTATTTGTCGAGGGTGGTGGTGTTCACAATTTGTGTATTTGTCGAGGGTGGGGGGTTCACAATTTGTGTATTTGTCGAGGGTGGTGGGGTTCACAATTTGTATATTTGTCGAGGGTGGGGGAGGTTCACAATTTGTGTATGTGTCGAGGGTGGAGGAGTTCACAATTTGTGTATTTGTCGAGGGTGGAGAGGTTCACAATTTGTGTATTTGTCGAGGGTGGGGGGGTTCACAATTTGTGTATTTGTCGAGAGTGGGGGGTTCACAATTTGTGTATTTGTCGAGGGTGGAGAGGGTCACAATTTGTGTATTTGTCGAGGGTGGAGAGGTTCACAATTTGTGTATTTGTCGAGGGTGGGGGGGGTTCACAATTTGTGTATTTGTCGGGGGTGGAGGAGTTCACAATTTGTGTATTTGTCGAGGGTGGGGGTTCACAATTTGTGTATTTGTCGAGGGTGGGGGGTTCACAATTTGTGTATTTGTCGGGGGTGGAGGAGTTCACAATTTGTGTATTTGTCGAGGGTGGGGGATTCACAATTTGTGTATTTGTCGGGGGTGGTGATGTTCACAATTTGTGTATTTGTCGCGGGCGGGGGGGTTCACAATTTGTGTATTTCTCGAGGGTGGAGAGGTTCACAATTTGAGTATTTGTCGAGGGTTGGGGTGTTCACAATTTGTGTATTTGTCCAGGGTGGAGAGGTTCACAATTTGTGTATTTGTCGAGGTTGGAGGTGTTCACAATTTGTGTATTTGCCGAGGGTGGGGTTCACAATTTGTGTATTTGTCGGGGGTGGAGGTGTTCACAATTTGTGTATTTGTCGAGGGTGGAGGTGTTCACAATTTGTGTATTTGTCGAGGGTGGGTGGGTTCACAATTTGTGTATTTGTCGGGGGTGGAGGAGTTTACAATTTGTGTATTTTTCGAGGTTGGAGAGGTTCACAATTTGTGTATTTGTCGAGGGTGGGGGGGTTCACAATTTGTGTATTTGTCGAGGGTGGGGGGTTCACAATTTGTGTATTTGTCGAGGGTGGGGGGTTCACAATTTGTGTACTTGTCGGGGGTGGAGGAGTTCACAATTTGTGTATTTGTCGAGGGTGGGGGTTCACAATTTGTGTATTTGTCGAGGGTGGGGGATTCACAATTTGTGTATTTGTCGGGGGGGTTCACAATTTGTGTATTTGTCGAGGGTGGGGGGGGTTCACAATTTGTGTATTTCTCGAGGGTGGGGAGTTGGTTCACAATTTGTGTATTTGTCACGGGCGGGGGGGGGTTCACAATTTGTGTATTTTCCGAGGGTGGAGAGGTTCACAATTTGTGTATTTGTCGAGGGTGGAGAGGTTCACAATTTGTGCATTTGTCGAGGGTGGGGGGTTCACAATTTGTGTATTTGTCGAGGGTGGAGGAGTTCACAATTTGTGTATTTGTCGAGGGTGGGGGGGGTTCACAATTTGTGTATTTGTCGGGGGTGGAGGAGTTCACAATTTGTGTATTTGTCGAGGGTGGAGGTGTTCACAATTTGTGTATTTGTCGAGGGGGGGGGGTTCACAATTTGTGTATTTGTCGAGGGTGGGGGAGGTTCACAATTTGTGTATTTGTCGGGGGTGGAGGAGTTCACAATTTGTGTATTTCTCGAGGGTGGGGGGTTGGTTCACAATTTGTGTATTTGTCGCGGGCGGGGGGGTTCACAATTTGTGTATTTGTCGAGGGTGGAGGGGTTCACAATTTGTGTATTTGTCGAGGGTGGAGGTGTTCACAATTTGTGTATTTTTCGAGGGTGGGGGGTTCACAATTTGTGTATTTGTCGGGGGTGGAGTTCACAATTTGTGTATTTGTCGAGGGTGGGGGGTTCACAATTTGTGTATTTGTCGAGGGTGGGGGAGGTTCACAATTTGTGTATTTGTCGGGGGTGGAGGAGTTCACAATTTGTGTATTTCTCGAGGGTGGGGGGTTGGTTCACAATTTGTGTATTTGTCGAGGGTGGAGGGGTTCACAATTTGTGCATTTGTCGATGGTGGAGGTGTTCACAATTTGTGTATTTTTCGAGGGTGGGGGGTTCACAATTTGTGTATTTGTCGGGGGTGGAGTTCACAATTTGTGTATTTGTCGAGGGTGGGGGGTTCACAATTTGTGTATTTGTCGATGGTGGAGGTGTTCACAATTTGTGTATTTTTCGAGGGTGGGGGGTTCACAATTTGTGTATTTGTCGGGGGTGGAGTTCACAATTTGTGTATTTGTCGAGGGTGGGGGGGTCACAATTTGTGTATTTGTCGAGGGTGGAGAGGTTCACAATTTGTGCATTTGTCGAGGGTGGTGGGTTCACAATTTGTGTATTTGTCGAGGGTGGAGGAGTTCACAATTTGTGTATTTGTCGAGGGTGGGGGAGGTTCACAATTTGTGTATTTGTCGGGGGTGGAGGAGTTCACAATTTGTGTATTTGTCGAGGGTGGAGGTGTTCACAATTTGTGTATTTGTCGAGGGTGGGGGGTTTACAATTTGTGTATTTGTCGAGGGTGGGGGAGGTTCACAATTTGTGTATTTGTCGGGGGTGGAGGAGTTCACAATTTGTGTATTTCTCGAGGGTGGGGGGTTGGTTCACAATTTGTGTATTTGTCGCGGGCGGGGGGGTTCACAATTTGTGTATTTGTCGAGGGTGGAGGGGTTCACAATTTGTGTTTTTGTCGCGGGTGGAGGTGTTCACAATTTGTGTATTTTTCGAGGGTGGGGGGTTCACAATTTGTGTATTTGTCGGGGGTGGAGTTCACAATTTGTGTATTTGTCGAGGGTGGGGGGTTCACAATTTGTGTATTTGTCGAGGGTGGGGGAGGTTCACAATTTGTGTATTTGTCGGGGGTGGAGGAGTTCACAATTTGTGTATTTCTCGAGGGTGGGGGGTTGGTTCACAATTTGTGTATTTGTCGAGGGTGGAGGGGTTCACAATTTGTGTATTTGTCGATGGTGGAGGTGTTCACAATTTGTGTATTTTTCGAGTGTGGGGGGTTCACAATTTGTGTATTTGTCGGGGGTGGAGTTCACAATTTGTGTATTTGTCGAGGGTGGGGGGTTCACAATTTGTGTATTTGTCGAGGGTGGAGAGGTTCACAATTTGTGCATTTGTCGAGGGTGGTGGGTTCACAATTTGTGTATTTGTCGAGGGTGGAGGAGTTCACAATTTGTGTATTTGTCGAGGGTGGGGGGGTTCACAATTTGTGTATTTGTCGGGGGTGGAGGAGTTCACAATTTGTGTATTTGTCGAGGGTGGAGGTGTTCACAATTTGTGTATTTGTCGAGGGTGGGGGGTTCACAATTTGTGTATTTGTCGAGGGTGGGGGAGGTTCACAATTTGTGTATTTGTCGGGGGTGGAGGAGTTCACAATTTGTGTATTTCTCGAGGGTGGGGGGTTGGTTCACAATTTGTGTATTTGTCGCGGGCGGGGGGGTTCACAATTTGTGTATTTGTCGAGGGTGGAGGGGTTCACAATTTGTGTATTTGTCGAGGGTGGAGGTGTTCACAATTTGTGTATTTTTCGAGGGTGGGGGGTTCACAATTTGTGTATTTGTCGGGGGTGGAGTTCACAATTTGTGTATTTGTCGAGGGTGGGGGGTTCACAATTTGTGTATTTGTCGAGGGTGGGGGAGGTTCACAATTTGTGTATTTGTCGGGGGTGGAGGAGTTCACAATTTGTGTATTTCTCGAGGGTGGGGGGTTGGTTCACAATTTGTGTATTTGTCGAGGGTGGAGGGGTTCACAATTTGTGTATTTGTCGATGGTGGAGGTGTTCACAATTTGTGTATTTTTCGAGGGTGGGGGGTTCACAATTTGTGTATTTGTCGGGGGTGGAGTTCACAATTTGTGTATTTGTCGAGGGTGGGGGGGTTCACAATTTGTGTATTTGTCGAGGGTGGGGGGTTCACAATTTGTGTATTTGTCGAGGGTGGGGGGGTTCACAATTTGTGTATTTGTCGAGGGTGGGGGGTTCACAATTTGTGTATTTGTCGAGGGTGGGGGTTCACAATTTGTGTATTTGTCGAGGGTGGGGGGTTCACAATTTGTGTATTTGTCGAGGGTGGGGGGTTCACAATTTGTGTATTTGTCGAGGGTGGGGGTTCACAATTTGTGTATTTGTCGGGGGTGGGGTGGGTTCACAATTTATGTATTTGTCGGGAATGGGGGTGTTCACAATTTGTGTATTTGTCGAGGGTGGAGGAGTTCAC